AAAGATGGGTTTCCGACCAAGAATCTCTGCAAAGATGCATCCTACCGACCAAACATCAATGGATGTTCCGTAATTGTCACAACAGAGTAGGAGCTCAGGTGCACAGTACCAGCGGATGACAACATACTCTGTCATGAATTGTTCGTTGCCTCTGCTGGTTCGAGCCAGCCCGAAATCACATATCTTTAAGTCACAGTTAGCATTGACAAGGAGGTTCCCAGGCTTCAAATCTCGGTGAAGGATGTTTGCTGTGTGGAGGTACTTTAGCCCTCGTAGTAACTAAAAACATATTACTAAGGTTAGTCACAACCAGACTAATATCTAACAGAAGCTAAAAAAATGGTTTACAACTTTATATGGAACTAAGTTTTCTTCGGCGTAGCAACGGAATAGAGATTCACTATTACTCAAGATTCAACATGGAACAGTTGAGAAAGTTTCGGTATCTCTTAGGTGTGTTGCTGATAAGCAGGCATCATATTTTCAGACTTTTCTTTTAATAATATACATATCCTATGCTGAAAACCAAACAGAATGAGTCTGCATCTGATCAAGCAGTTAAGTACATAGTGAAGCAATTATGTTGAAAAAAAATGGTGAGGGAGGATTAACAGTAATATATTCTTTACCATTTTACGGGAAACCGGATCGAGCGAACCTGTTGTTTAGTGGACAAAATGGAAAGAAAGGGAAAGTAAAAGGAAATGGATGCAGATGCAGAACAATCAGAAAAGACCCTAGGTATATGAAACGATGAACATCACATAATATATGAAACGATGAACAACAATGAACTGAATAACTCTCCTTCATCGAAAATGCATCAGTTTCCCTTGAACTCTAGCTCGATTGTCATCATCTTGTACCGAAATGAATCTAATAACGAGTTTCCACTGGTAAAGTAAAAATTGTTGTAATAAGCCAAAGAACTAGAAGCCTTTTATGTTCATTTTCCTAACGAACTAAATTCACATAGCAACCGGATGATAGAACGGAACTCATCAAAGCCTAAAGCCAAAATTGCACAGTACTGCAGTATAAATGAGCGGCTATTAATGCTTCAAAAATGGGAAACTCATGGTAATTACTAACAAGCCTAATGAACCATTTCAAGTACTTAAAAACCATAATGCAAACTAATAGATAATAGGCAATGTATCTAAATACAGAATTACCATCTAAAGCATATGGAAGTTTATAAGACCCAAATTACTATATTTAACTTCAAAAAACTTACCTGAAATATGAAATACTTGCAATGGTCATTAGAAAGAGGCTGAGGGGACTTGATAATCTGATGCAAATCGGTGTCCATAAGCTCATAGACCAAAACTCGTTATCCGAGTGGGCATCATAACATCTTTCAAGGCTATCACGTTCTCCTGTCGAATGTGTCTGAGGAGTTTCAACTCCCTCAAAGTTCTCAACGCGTCAACACGATTCTCAAACACATTGTTGATCTTCTTTATAGCAACTTTCTCATTGGTTTCCCTGTTGATTGATGAGCAAACGACGCCGTACGCTCCCCTCCCTATAGGCTTGATTGGGACATACTTGGTGTCAATCTCGAAAAGGGTCTGCCACATTGAGTAGTAATGTTTCCCTTCTGGCTTCACTCCATTTGGTGCCTCCACAAGCGTCGCCATTCCTCTGAAATTCCCAGGAAAAAAAATAACATAAAAACCCCACCTTTTGTACCCAAAAGAAAGAAGAAAAACAAATAATGGGGCCTAGAATCAATTCTTACTTCCTGCTTTGATCTTTTTAAATCAGCTTCTTCACTTTTCCTTCTAGAAATTCATATTATTCCTCTGTAAAACTCCAAACTTTGGCCTTCATTTCTTACCCAAAACCCCACCTTTTGCCTACCCTTTTCTTCAAACTCTAAACCACCTTCATATTCACAACTTTGAGATCATTCCTCCTTAAAAAGAAGGAAAAAAAAGCTCCTTTCATTTGTCTTCCCAAGAAAGTTGCAAAACTCTTATCCAAGTGATCTGATCTGATCAGATTTTGGATTTCCAATCAGACTAAAGAGAGAAGAGAGTGGAGAAGAAATATATTTAAAGAGCATGAGGAAAGACCAGGGACAGCGACGTGACGCTCACATGGCATTTTCCCTTGAGGCATAAACGACAGCTATGCACTGTTTTGGTTTGGGATTTTAGGAAATATCACCATAGCCTCTCCTTTTGCTCTTTCTTTTTTTGATAATTTGCCGTTTGATCTTGCTTAAGCGTTGCCATGCATACACTTGAAATTTCTTTGTTTCTCTCTCTACTTTTCCACCATTTTGAGGGAAGTGAACAGAAAATAATTCTTTTTCTTCATGTTTAGATAATTTGGTAATACCAACAGAGGAAAAGTACTGATTCCCAAAGATTTGTCGGGTGTATGACCAATTATTTAACAAAATGACAGCAACTATATACTGCAAACATGTGTTCAAGTTTTTTTATCTGTTAATAAGACTTTATTATCTCATCTTCCCAGTGGCTAAAAAGGGTTGGCCTTGCATTGATAAAAGCGTGGAAAAGATGCCTTCTTCATTTGAATACATTCTCGCCAATCTCCATTGCCTTTTGACTTTGCTTTTCCTTTAATTATCAAAGTGAATTGTTCAACCACACCTGCCATCTACTTCAACTCCTTTTTTCCAAGTAAACACGGCGTTTAGACCGTCTCTATCTGCCTTTCCATTTGTAAAATCGATGTCAACATTTAGGGTAGTTCCAGTTGTGCGAGGGTAACTCTTTTAAGTTAATTTATGACTAATTTTTATTTAAAATATTATTTGTTTCAACTTAAAAAATCATTTAATTGGTAATCATTTACTTATGGGTGTTTGGATGAGGGAATGTGAAATTTTCATGGGAATGTAATTCACATTTTCTGTTTGGTTAGCCTGGGAATCTCATTCCCGGTAATATAAGATTACCAATAGTAGATTTTTTTTGGGTATATTATCGTGAATGTCATTACCCCCTTTCCTTAGGTATTGTTGTATTACCGACGTTTAGGACTAAAATGTCCTTATTTTTTTTCTTTAAAAAATATCATTTTTCTGTCATTGAATAATAAAAATTCTACGAATGTTAAATTACAAATTTATCTTTAAATTATTTTAGATTTACAAAAAAAGTCTATAATTAAAATTTTATATTAAATTCAGGGGTTAAAATAAAATTTACCCTTTCATTAAACCTTTTTATATTTTCAATTTTATAAAAATTATATAAATTTTTTGAATTTAAATTTTTTAAAGAAAATATATAAACATTTTCCAACTTGTTAAAAAAATAAATATATAATAAGGACAATTTTGTCAAATATACATTCCAATAATCTTTTATTCCTTTAACCAAACACAGTAATCTTACATTCCTGCTAAGCCAACCAAACACAAAATACAACATTCACAGTAATCCTATTCCCTGATAATCTTACATTACGTGAACTAAACGCACCCTAAGAATGTTATATTATGACGGATTTTAAAAAATTATTTTTTATTTTAAAAAGTTATACAATTTTATATTTAGTCATAACAAAAATATATTGACAATAATTTTTTAAATTGTAGGTGAAATAGTTTTTTAATTTACATTAATTTTATAAAAAAAATTAATATTTTCGATTTCAAATTAAAATATTATATATTTTACTCTAAAAAGTTACCTTGGTAATTTTTTTTTATTATAATCGATTTTTATCTTTTTCTTTAGCCTTATATGAACTAATTGTATTTTATACTCATCCAAACATTTACAACAACAGAGTACAAGAAAATGTGAAATATTTCTAAGAATGTTTCATTTGTATCTAATGAGAGAACCCCAAAAGTTTTATAATTACTTTTTATCATATAAATTATAATCATCTCATTTTGCTTTATAACAGAGACTGGGAATTATATTTGTAGATTAACTTCAATAAAAGAATAGTACTTAGATGGCTGATTATCCTTCCCATATTGCTTTATAACAGAGACCATAAAGTAAATATGTATATTAACTTCAATAAAAGAATAGAATTTAGATTAACACTGATAAAAATTAAACTCCCCTACATGTTTCTAGGGGAATTCATTTCCTTGCTTTGGAAGCCCTGGTTTCTAAACCAGGCAGATTAAAAAAAACACAATAGGCCGGACTCATGCATGGCGACAGGTATATATGAAAGTGCAAGGAAATGACAATCACCTTTTAAGTCCATGCAAAAATGAGGCACTAAATATTGAGCTTTGTAGTTTCTTTTTCCTCTTTCGTATATGACTCACACTCGTCAGGTACGAGTGTTTGACATGAGTGACAAAATTTTCGGGATTTCCATGTATTTGAATGGTCCTTGAAGGACTAAATCGCATACTCATGTCCAAATATGTGTCGAATTATAGTACTTCAAGAGAAAAGAAGAGTCGAAGCAATATAGATATGTGTCGTTATAGCTTTTGCTAATATGATAGTCAATTGTATGACTGGTAAATAATTTCATCAAAAAATAGCAACAGTTACCTTCTTGGTTGCCATAAGCACTTGTTCCAAGGCATCAGCCCGGCTTAGTGCAGAATTCAACATTTCTTCCTTCTCAGGAGCCATTATTGTAGATTGCATGTTGATAACATCTAGATGTTGAATTCTAGATGTTGATAGCGAGACTAGATGTTGACTGGTATATATGTTGATACCTTCTCTGGTCTTAATCGGTATGCTGCGTGTCACTTTCACCATGGTGGCGACTCCCATAACAAAGGCCATCACACCATTGAAAAGAGGAGAGCTAACCACATAAAGGTTCTTGTGGCTTTCTTGATTGGTAAAAGAATCTGTGATTTCCACAACAAACCTTAGCACCTGCTATAATTTAGAATCCTAATATGGTATCTTAGACACTTATGACACAGAAAATAACAAAACTGACATTGACGCACGATCAAGGAACATGCAGAGTAAATCACAATATGAGTAAGCCATGTACCTTTCGGTAGAGGAGCAAAATTTTCATTTAGCCACTGGAACAATTTCCATTGATGCCTTTGGGACCTGGGAATTTCAGAAGAAACTATGTTGATAGACAATGCATCGTCTAAGGCTTCTATAGTTTTCACAGCTTGCATGTATCAGCTCCTAATAATTGACAGTATTCAGAAAGAAGGCTGCTAAACTTACAATATCCAGTACAGGGGCGGGCTCCGGATGCTCAACTTGATTCTTTGATCGTTTATCTGCAGCATCTGGAACTGGCTCAGCATCGACGGGATCACTAGCCTGTGTTGCCTGTGAAACAAACTACTTGGTCAATCGTTGAAAAATGAAGTGGCAGAGTAACATAGGTCATCGATATAGAGGGAATAAGAGCGAGCTAAGAGCATGTTGATAGAGAAAGTAGAACCTCCGTGGTCACAGTTTTAACCTCTAAAGTTGTTTTCTCTTCAGTGCTTTCAGCCTGAGATTGCTTTGAGCCTTTATGAGAACCACTTTGAACCATCTGCAAGATGGAAAAAATTGGTTAGGAGTGCCTAGAATCCTGATTACAAACCATACTAGATAATCAATATGACTGCAACTGATAAAAAAGAAATAAAAACGACTGGCTCACCTTCATGATCTCTGGGTCCTTCCATGGACCCTTGTCGGAAAGCATGCAACCTCCTTGATCGGCACAAGTACAAATGCCTCCCAAACAATCAGGCAATTCACTGATATAGAGCACCAACAAGAAAAAAAATTATATGTAGATATATATGAGAAGAAAAGAAGTAACACCAGTGATTTGTTTCAACATCGTGAAAAATAAACAAAATTTAGATAATCTAATGGGAATATACCCTTTATCAATTATTTCAAGCAACTTGCTCTGAAATTTGTTTCCAAGAACCTGGTATGTAATCGGTTTCACCAATTCTTATTGGTTAAAATTTGCAAATTCGAGTGTGAGGAAGCGAATGTAATATGCATTCTTACATTGATCTTGGCTGTGGTCTTAGGATCAAGGAAAGACTTGACAGAATTCCACAACATTCTAAATCCGGAACCTGCATTGATGATGAACATGCAGTTCAACGTCTGCAGAAAGCAACAACATTGCACATCACAATTCCATCATCTAATGTTTAAAACGTCACTACCGAATCAAAAACCTGGCAATTATGCATGAATAATGTAAAGGAAATCAGTACCTCAGGATAATTGTCACTGTCAATCTTCTGAAGACTACCTACAAGGTCCCTTGCAGCTTTGGTGAAGCTCTTAAGACCCTGTGCCATTAACGAAATTAAGACGGAAGGCATTCTTACACATGATTAAAATTTTCCTTCTTTCTTTGTAAAGGTAACTGAGGTGGACTGGTTTGAAATGAGCATTTCCTTTTTCTACAAAGAAGGTCGAAGAGGATAGCTAGAAGAACCATCAGGATTAATTTCGGATTTGTTAAACTGAGTATTGAATTTGTTGAAACATAGATATAGTGATTATGGAATCTCACTCACAACTCCATTCACATCCAAGATGGTTGTGCTTTGATCAATATGCTCTTGGCTGCAATTGAGCAAGCTGGAAACTTCATTTGAAAGGTCTTCTCAAACTCCCTTACATGGTATTTGAGATAGCGGTCCATTGTCGTCACTTGCATGAGCTTGCCAGCTTCTACCATGCCTAGTCTTTCTATATAAACTGGTCGTCCATCCATATCGACCCCATGGTACCCTTGGGGATAATATTTCAACACTTCTGAACGCTCCTTGAAGTCGAAGTCCTAAGGGGTCGTTTGGATGGGGTGGAATCCCACATTCCCCCGTTTGGGTTTGGCCGGATGTCATTCCCCGGTAATGTTTTATTATTAATAGTGGATTTTTTGGGATATATTACCGGGAATATTATTACCTCCATTCCCTTAGTTATTGTAACATTACCGACATTTTGGACTAAAATGCCCTTAATTTTTTTTTTCAAAAATATCATTCTTCTGTCATTGAATAATAAAAATTATACGAAGGTTAAATTACAAATTTATCCTTAAACTATTTTAGATTTACAAAAAAAACTATAATTAAAATGTTATATGAAGTTCAGGGGTTAAAATAAAATTTTACCCTTTCATTATACATTTTTATATTTTTTATTTTATAAAAAAATTATATAAATTTTATGAATTTAAATTTTTTAAAGAAAATATATAAATATTTTTCAACTTGTAATATTATACAAATATATAATAAGGACAATTCGGTCAAATATACATTTTAATAATATTTTATTCCTTTAACAAAACAGGGTAATCTTACATTCCTGCTAAACCAACCAAACACAAAATACAACATTCCCAGTAATATTATTCCCTGGTAGTCTTTTATTTTCACCGATAATCTTACATTCCGTGAACCAAACGCACCCTAAAGGGAAAGCAAATGGGAGTCATCTTCTAGAGCTTTTTCAGAAACGCCATATTCGACATGAACATTCAACAAATAGAATAATTCTATGTTTTGTAAGAAGAATACCTCAATAATTGTGTCGGTACCAAATTCTTGCCTCCATTGGAGCATATTTATCCACATTTCCTTTAATTTCTCGAGGTCAAATCGTCTGGCCTTCAAGAACCTGCATTATAGAGAGGTCGGTAAAGTTGAAACTTTAATATAATATCGTCGAACATCTAATTATCTGAAATCTTGGGGATAAATGGCCACATGAATCAGACTGTGTATTGCTGCTCAAATCCTTCTTGAACTTGCAATCTACAATTGGATTCACAAGCAAACCCATTAATCATCCTGCTTACACCTGAATACACGTTAAAACTCAGCCTTATAATATAACAATGTATTTCTCTACAACAAAATAGATGAACCTATGTTGTACAACAAAAATTCATATATTTAGAAGCTTATACCTTGGTATTCATATCGAAATATGTCAGCAATGAGTACTTCTAAGGGAAATGAAGAGTCCGGAAAGATGGTAACCTGAGCATCGTACGATAATCGTCATGTCTTGCAGGTAGCTTGTCCTCCGATACAAGAGCCTGGCGGAAGGCATCAACAGACCGCACCTCCTCCGGAGTACGCTTATCATCAATTTCAATAGACATTACTTTACTGCTCCTCCTACCTCTCTTTGACATAGAATTCCTGAGTTTATTGGATGCACTCCTTGTCGTCATCTTTGCTGATCCGTCCGTATCTGATACAATGGAGAAATTGACATTGAAATGAATATATATGTATATACTAAAAGAAACCATTTCAAGCATTCTCATCTACTAACATTATGTTTTGGTTTCTAAGTGATCATCATAAACAAAATAGCAACTAAATAATATATCACCAGGATACCATTATTGTTATGCCACAACAAACGACCGTAATCAACATTCAACAGTATATAAGGGTACCAAATCAATACAGAAAAAGGGAAAAAGAAATGTACAATGAGATTAAGCAGCAAAAAAAGAAAAAGAAAAGGTTTACAATAAGAAAACCTTGGGTCTCGGCCATTATTTGAAGCTATTAAGGAATTTTTGCAGACAGAGAAACAGTAAAGGGGAGAAGAATCAAGCAGTCGTCGACCCCCCCTGGACCAAAATCTCTGCAAATACGATATTAAATATTACTAACCAACAGCATTCAAATATTACTAACCAAATCTCTAGCTATCGCGTTCGAGTTGGTTTTTTAACTTTTGAAACATGTGAATAATCTTTTTTTTTTCATTACAAATAAGAAATTTGAGCGAAATGCAAGGACTTTCCATTAAAAAAATGTTGGGACTCGGGGAATTCATGTCGGACCAAACGGTCTTTTCCTCTTTTTGCGGGCAATTTCATACTACATGTGCCTGGGAATTCGTTGCGCTGGAGATGTGCACGGAGCTTGCCTTGCTCCAGAAAAACACTCACTACAGCAAAATGGGGTTTTAGCGGCGTTTTATGAGAAAACGCCGGAAAATAATGTACTTTTCTTTTTCTTTTTCCCTCCCTTGCCTCACTGAGGCGTCATGCCAATAGCAATAGAAAGGTTTCTCAAAAATATTAATATTTATGTTTGACCTATATGTAAAGTTTGTAAACTTTGTTAGATTCTTTGATTTGTTCTAGCATGTGAGATGATAGGCATTGTTCTTAAGCAAATTTTGGCTTTTGTTTCTTCACACCCAACTTTAAACTTAAGATTCATGATATTACTTGTTTTTGTTTTGGAATTGTTTATTCATAATGAATGAATGGCCGATTGCTAATCATATGCAGGTGCGGTCATATGTGCTGTTGTATGACATGCTCTTCAAACTTAACCAACTGTCCGCTTTGCCGGAGACGAATTGAGCAGGTCATAAAAGTCTTTCGCCATTGAAACCTTTGTTTATGAGATTTAATAAGTTGCAGTCATACCAACCGGGAAATCAGGGTATTTATCTTTTTGTCGGAGGTAAGATTTTCAATAGTTTAGAATCCTTTTAACTAGATACTTCTCCTTTCTGTAAAATAATTAGCTTGATGTCCCTCAAATACTTAGATTAATATCCAAATATCATTCAAATGATAAATGGTTGCAATTTAATGACAGGAGCACAGGAAGTCCTTGGAAATTTAGTTGAGCAGATTACAGTTCTTTCTTCGAGTTTTATGTCTGTTTTGTTTTGTTCGTGTATTGCTAATTACGGACTGGAAAGAAAAACTTAGGGTTAAAGTAAACCTCTAGTTTTCTTTTGATTCGAAAAAGAATAATAATGATATTTTATGGTAAGAAAAATCAGGATTTGTCACTGCATCATCCATTACTTTTATGCTACGATTGGTAGGAGTGGTAGTACATCAGTTAGCAATAAACTAACTTCACTTGGTAATTTGTAGCCACTCACATGACTAAATTTGAACGAAGAGAATGAACAAATATTGCTTTTTTTTGAATAGATATTATTTGTTACTTGAGTTTGATGCAGGGGATCTGAGACAGATGATGCTGAGCTGTCAGATTGCACCTTGATGGCGCTGAGATACCATAAATTGGCATATCAGAGCAAAGGCGGGAATTGATTGTGACATGTTCCTCATTGGGGTCGTTTTGAGTATGTTTCAGTCTTTTGGCCATAACTTTGGCTACAGGTGTCAGAATCGCGCATAAGACCCCAATCCGAAAAGCTCTTTTCGATGCGCACGCTCTTCACATGAGCTATGTTCCATGTGGCCTTTTTTTCAACCTCAAATTCTGCCGTTTTCCCTTCCGAATCACTATAATTAGATATTTTTTACTATTTATGGTAATATTTCGATTGTCAATTAGGAAGTCAATTTAAATCCGATTTAGGCCGGATTTTTTGGAGATTACTTATTTTATTTCGAATTTCAATTTAGAGTGATTTTCGGGATTTTGCTATTTTTGGCAAAATTCGAATAAAGAGGATTTTTGGCTATAACAGTCCGGCTTGTGGACTGATTTTGACATTGTTTTGATTTGATAATATTTTATTAAATCCTAGAGACTTTTTTTCTCTGGATTTTTTTGGGCGAATTTTCTCTTGTGAATCATCTGTTGGAGCGCTTGCAGGATAATCACTATTTTGTCTAGCGTCAGAGTTTTTACTCATCTTTTCAATTTCGAGTTTAGATTTGTACTAATTCTTCTCCATGTTATGACAAAATATTTTAACAACTTATGAAATAGTTAAGCTTTTCCTTGTAAACTCACATGTGCTCTAGATTTTTGATTATTGGTTTCATAAAAAATATTATTTTGTTACTGATTTTGGTTATAAATCTGCATTTGCAAACCTCCATTGGTAATATAAGAATTCTCAAAGTTAAGAACTTGATTGAGTTATATATATATATAGAAAAAAACAGTAGTCTTAGGGAACAATCAAGAACTACTACAAAGAAATTGGTCATGCCATTACCGAGGAATTTGCATAAACCCCTTATGGTTCCATCTCTCTGACTTTGATACTCTTAGCAGTTGGGAACTTATGACCAGTTTTGCTCGTAGAGTTAAATCATACCAAACGTATAAATGTTAGTGGTGATTTTGTCAAAAAAAAAATGGTTTAGTGACCATATTAGAAAAGTTAAAATAGTTTGGTGACTAGTTGTATAGTTTATCCATATTAGAAATGTGTAACATAATGTTTATTTGTCTGTAGCAATCTTGCATTTAATCAATTTACAGGAAGTGTCCCTTATTCCATCAATCATATGCATTCTCTTCAATACATGTAAGCAATGTTTCGAATATTCATTTTTTTTACAAAAAAACTGTACACATTTAAATAGTCAGTATACGTTTAAACTCTTGTGCTCTTCCTTTTCTTTTACATTTCTGGAAATGCATAAATCTGATTTTTTGTCTGAGTTTATAATGCAAAATCTAGGTTGTTAATGGTGAAATTATAATGGACTATGTATGTATTTATGTGTTATACGAATGCATATCATTTTCTTGTATACCTGTTCCTCTTGTCATATTTTCACAAAACTAAAATACACTACCTTCTCAAATTATGTTCATTTTAAGCATATGTCCCGTTTCGAGATATACTACTTGATTTCTTTTTATATTCTTTATTTACACATCCAAAATAAATAATTGTGATAGACATTACATATCCAAAATAAATCATTTTCATGCTCAGCTCTTTCTTTTTCATTTCCAGATCTTTGTAAGCTTATTTCTTCTCTTATTCTTTAACCTGTAGAACCCTTGTATACGAACTGTAGTTATTGTGGCTAATTTCTTTTATACTTTTATACTTTATTTTATATTTACCCTTTTTATAGCCATTTGAGGTTTCCATCCTCTTATGCTTAGTATACTTGTGTAAATTGTAGGCGAGTCACCTCTGAATGCATTGCTATCTGAGCCAGTGTTCATTACCGTTTTGACCAACGTATTCTTCTTCAAAATTGTACAGTGCAGGTAATTATATAGTTCAATAATATTGTTATGGTTAGCATTTTCAAATACTTATGATTCATCAGTTAGTTCAGTTTACATTTTGATTAATTTATATTATTTTCTTACTGAAAAACTTTGCCTAATTCGGTATCTTGACCTTTAGTTTTATAAATAAAAACTTTGCCTAATTTGCCTAAAGTGATTAGTTCTATACTATGTAGTTCTATATATGCACCCCTATAATTTTTATAAAATAACATAGATACAATTGCTCCCATATCATTTTATAAATTTAAAACTCTTATAATTTAGGAGTGATTAGTTGTATACTATGCAAATATTAGTATTCACTAAATCTGATAGTTTAATGTTTATGTTTAGGTTCTAACTTTTTCTATAATGTTACCATTTAACATTTGAAATTGGAACTCCAGAAATACGAAATGGATAAGACATGGATGGATTTCTCAAGGGTAAGCGTCGAATATCGAAATGGAGTTGAAAACTTTCTAAATTTAGCTTTTATGAATGCAAGCCAAGAGAATATGAATCTTTGCTCTTGTAGGAACTGTGTTAACATTAACTGACACATTCGTGAAGTTGTGTATGAGCATCTAGTTATTTTTGGATTTGTTTGGGGTATAGAAAATGGATCTTTCATGGAGAGTTTGTATCAGATAGACATGCTTCCACGAGTTATTCGACTTATCCTGCTCCTTCTCACCATCCAACTTTTAGAGAATATGACATGGAAGGGATGTTACGAGATGCATTTAATATGCACAATAGTCAGCCGTATGTTACAGAAAATTATTGGCAGAATGATGTTAATGATTCCATTGAGATGGGAAGAATTGGATGCGATTAAGAGCCAAATAGAGAAGCGGCAAAGATTTACAAGTTGCTGAATGAAATGAATGAACAACTTTATGACGGATCAAAGCTTTCAAAGCTTTCTTTATGCATTCGTCTTTTCCACTTAAAATGCCTGGGAGGCTGGACTGGAACTCCTTTACGCAGTTGTTAGAGTTACTAGAAGTGTTTCCTTTTGCAAAAATCCCTCAATCAAGTAAAGATATGAAGAAAATGATAAAAGATTTGGGTCTTAGATATGACAAAATTCATAGTTGTCCGAATGATTGTATGTTGTATTGGGGTGATCGAAAAAATCAGGAGTCTTGTCATATATGCGGAAAATCTCGATGGATGAGTAGGGATGCAGAAAATGTTACTGAGGATGAAGCTCAAGCACCATCAAGAAAGAAGCC